TGTGTGTGTGTGTGTGTGTGTGTGTGTGTGTGTGTGTGTGTGTGTGTGATGGAGGGATTCTTATAAGAAGACTGGCAGGTAGGACCTTGAGCAAGTTAACTGTCTGAGATTCAGTTTCCTTTGTGTTAAAATGGTGCTAAGATGAGGACTGATTTCATAGGAACGCTGTTGGTTTTCCTGTGGTTCAAAACCTAGGGGGACAGAAAAGGCAAAAAAAAAAAAAAATACATGGTAAATAGATGCAATGACTTTAATAACATGGTTATCTTATAAAGTATATTGGAGAGTCATCAAATTTCCTTTCAAGGAATTGAAAATCATCGGTTAGTTCCCTAATTACATAGGCCAGAAGCTGAAGCCACAGAATAGAGTAAAGACCTCTGGTCCCAAAGCTAGTTGACATCAAAATTGGAACTAGCACCAGGCTTTACTGATGCTCAATTAAGACTCCAGTTTCCTAGATGGGCAACCACATCACCACTCATTGATGGTGGTGAGACAACCACTGCAATGACTAGTGTGTTCTGTTAGACTAGAGATGCCAAGTATAAGTCCCTGGGTTGATGCTAGGCAGGCTGCATGGTCATCACCCTAGAGAGGGTGATTTTACAAACATGATTTTAATTCAAAAAATCTGGAACCATGAGAGATGATGGACTCTGAAAAACAAACTGAGAGTTCTAGAGCGTGGGGGCGGAGAATGGGTTAGCGTGGTGATGGGTATTAAGGAGGGCACGTTCTGCACGGAGCACTGGGTGTTATACACAAACAATGAATCATGGAACACTACATCAAAAACTAATGATGTAATGTATGGTGATTAACACAACAATAAAAAATTAAAAAAATAGTCTGTGGCCCCATGTTTGTTAACTTTTCCGCAGGAAGCTCCAGAGTTATCATGAGTAGAGTACAAAACGTTGAAGAGCTTATGCCAGCAAAGGATCTTATTTTGAATAGATGATTTTTTTAATTTTTTGGCTGAACTACAAGTTTCATGCGTTTTGGGCACTGAAAAGTAGTAGACACTGTTCATCATTCAGTTGACAGAATTTTGTGTAATACAGAAAACAAAATGTAAGTAATACTTCTTTAGACGCTTCCTTCTGATGAAAGTATAAAGTTTATAACATTGTCCAGCTAAACTGCCAGGAAATACTGATGTCCAGCTTTCTTTCAGATGGCATACTGTGTTCTTTGTGCCACCAATATGTTCATTACATGGAATACAGAAAAAATGAAATGAGATATGCTATATATATAGCATATATATATATATATATATAGCATATATATATACACATAGCACATGCATATATATGTATACAAATATACATACATCTAGACATATATGATACATATACATATATGGTATTTACATATACACATATGATACACATACACATATGATATATATACATGTATGCATGTAGTCACCACAACTGTCAAAATAAATAATTTTAACAATAATGTAAAAAGACTAATCTGAAATCTAAGAAAGTGTAGTTAAGTCTATGAAATATAGAAATATTCAGTTAAAAAATAGATGTGTGTTTGAAACCAAATGGTTTACAAACCATGTCATACCATATCATATCAACACATCTCTGTGGATATAAGGCAGTTTGAGTTCAGTGCATTAATGGAAAGTCTCTCTCTCTATATATATATATATTCATACGCTGAAGTAGATGTATCTTCTCTAGTAAATAGGATTGTGTGGCATTCTAAGATATGTTAAAATATGATTATAGGTAAAGTAGAAAGGACCTCCTACCAAAAGATTCAAACCATCATCATGTTGTTTCAAAAACAGCTGTCCTAAGGAGCACCCAAACTTTTTTCAGAACTTACATTGTTTGGAATTACTACCATAATTAATATCAAGAATACAGAGACTTCTTTTAAAATATAAGTTTTGCACATAAGCAAAAATTGGCAAGTATAAACCATTTTGCTGGTATTACAAAAAGTTGTAATAAATCATTTTGCACTGGCATAGAATGCTCATTCTCACCATAAGAAACAAACAATACCCACCAGCAAAACTTCTTCCAATGAATTACACCTGAGTGCTCATTAGTGCAGCAACATCCAAAAAGGAAAATCAGACAAGCTGATTTTGAACACTGAATTGGAGCACCTGAGGGGAGGAAGATGAATAAGGCCTCTTCATGTTTGGTCTTATTAAACAATAGACATAGAACCCAGTTAGACGGAGGAACACAACAAATTTTCTCCCCACAGGTTAAGAAAGAAGAAGAAGAATGATTATAATACTCAGAGGAAAAAAGAAAGCAAAACCAAGAACCAATAATAAAGTTCATTAGAATGACTTAGAAGTAGGTTAGAAGTACTTAAAAAAAATGGATAGGAATTTGAAAGCCACCGATTTAATAAATGGCTTAAGGAACTTTTGTGCTGATTGTACTTTTTATGTTCTGAATGTATAGACTTTGTGGAAAAAGTAACGTTTCTTTTTACCTTTTCATTTGATCTTAGGAACCTACACATTTTGAACACATTATGGAACAAATGCATCACTTTCTTTTTCTCAGATATATCAAATTTATCTAGAATCAGCATATGCCCTATGATGACTGCAGAACACAGTTTTATGCTGTTTAATAGTCTGATGTCAGATTATCTGAAGAACACATTTATTACTTAGAGAATTTTATAAACATTGGAGAAATGATAGAAGAGGATACCAATTGTATTCACCCTCACTTAAGCAGTACATATTTACATAATTAGCTATACAAAATAAAAACTGCTTACATATTTCAAGAGAATTTATTATGAGCTCCTACTTTCACATAATTATGCATTTCTAAATATACATGTGAAAGTGGAAGGTGTACCAGTCAAAAAAGCATGTTTATTCATTAGAAAATAGTTTCTATTCACAATGAAATAAAAAAAGTATAAAATTATAATTATATCTTGGATTTTAAATGCAAACACTAATGTTATTTTAGCATTTTACATATGATCTTGAATCTGATTCTTTTCATTTGTATTTGAACACAGAGTTGATAAGTTAAGCTCAGTTAGGGTCTTGATTTTAGGGTTTGCATTTTCACAAATTTTACCATGCCTAGTTATTTCTATTTTTGTCTAAAATGTGATGCCTTTATGAACACCAAAAGGAAGACACCTTGATTTTTTTTAATTTTTAATTGTTAATCACCATACATTACATCATTAGTTTTTAATGTAGTGTTCCATGATTCATTGTTTGTGCATAATACCCAGTGCTCCACGCAGAATGTACCCTCTTTAATACCCATCACAAGGCTAAACCATTCCCCCCTCCCCTCTAGAACCCTCAGTTTGTTTTTCAGAGTCCATCGTCTCTCATGGTTCGTCTCCCCCTCCGGTTCCCCCCCTTCATTCTTCCCCTCCTGCTATCTTCTTTTTTTTTTTCTTAACATATATTGCATTATTTGTTTCAGAGGTACAGATCTGTGATTCAGCAGTCTTGCACAATTCACAACACTCACCATAGCACATACCCTCCCCAATGAGACACCTTGATTTAAAAAGTGTAAAGAACAGGGAAAATTGTAACTATTTATATTAAAAAAAAACAACAACTAGAAATAAGGTACATCTAAGACTTTTTATTCAGCAGCCTAGCAAAGTCATGGCTCCTAATAGGCTCATGTGTGATTTTCTTGAACCTTCTTCAGAGCCACAAGATGGCTGCAGCACTTTCCAACCAATATATCTATTTGGGGAAAAACCAAAAGCCCCAAGTCAGGAAAAAAGGAATGCTTGTACTTCATGTCCATTTTCCCATAAGTCCTTCAGATTTTTCATCATATCTCCTGCATTTATCTGGATCACATGACCATGTGTAAACTATTACTTAGCATAGAGAGTGAGAACACCACACTGCTGACTTCTATCAAACAAGACTCACACTTGACTGGGTGCCCCGGTTCTCCTGAAAGACATAACTTTGGTTCTGATAAAAGTGAGTGAGGTAGACTATTATAGAAATAATACTTAGATGTAGTATGCTGGCATTATCAAGTTCATTTTTCAATGGAATTTTTATGAGGTAATAAAAGCAAAATATACTAAAAATTCAAGTAATCACATAAATAAACACGGACCAAGACATTAATCCTGTGAAATTAAAAACTTTGGCTGACAGAAAGCATCACCTCATGTTAGCTTGAAATTTTTTACAGCTGATGCATGCAAGTTTACATTGTGTTTATCCCAGTGAGTTAAAAAGTGTATATTACATAAAATACAATAATAAAAGAAAATCTATCATACCAGTACTTATGGTATCTTAAAATTTTCTGTTATATCATTTAAATACATTTTCAAAATTAAAAAAAAAAATAGGTCAAATGTCAACCCAAGCTGTTTTTATTATCTCAAGCAGATTTCTCAGAAAAAATATAATATAGAAGTCGGGAGTATATAAATGCTGCAACCTTTCTGTTTGTTCTTCATGCATAGCTATTTATTCACCAAACAAGCTGATCAGTATGGGTGAAGTGTAAAATAGGATTACAGATGTGGCCTCTGCTCTAATGGTCCTCATAGTCTATTAGGAGAGACAGACTAGTACACAATCTGAATAGAATAAATTATGATAAGTGTTACCATGGGAAATATGGAGTGTGCTATGGAAACACATGGTAGAAGGCACTCATCTGGTGTTCAGGGTGTCAGAGGAAATATACTTTAGAATGAGTTGCCAGGTGAATGGGGAAGATAAAGAGAATTCCCAACAGTTAGAATAACACAAGCAATATTCTGGAGGCAGAAAAGAACACTGCTGTTTTGTTTTGTTTTGTTTCTAATGGCAGGGCGGGGGCAGAGGAGAGGCAGAGAGAATCTTTTTTTTTTTTAATTTTTTATTGTTATGTTAATCACCATATATTACATCATTTGTTTTGGTGTAGTGTTCCATGATTCATTGTTTGTTCATAACACCCAGTGCTCCATGCAGAATGTGCCCTCTTTAATACCCATCACCAGGCTAACCCATCCCCCTACCCTCCTCCCCTCTAGAACCCTCAGTTTGTTTTTCAGAGTCCATCATCTCTCCTGGTTCGTCTCCCCCTCTGACTTACTTCCCTTCATTCTTCCTCTCCTGCTATCTTCTTCTTTTTCTTTTTTCTTAAAATATGTTGCGTTATTTGTTTCAGAAGTACAGATCTGT